ATTTTGATAGACATAATTCATGTTACAACAGACAACTGATATGTAACTGATATAATTGCTCTTTGATAAATGTCATTTCTCATTTGAGATGAATATAGCAGTTACTGGCAGAACCTCATAGAGATCACAGGAACTTTTAAAAAGCAGCACCAAAAATCAGATTACAGCTTCCCCTAGGATGATTTTCTTACATTTTGATAGACATAGTTCATGTTACAACAGACAACTGATATGTAACTGATATAATTGCTCTTTGATAAATGTCATTTCTCATTTGAGATGAATATAGCAGTTACTGGCAGAACCTCATAGAGATCACAGGAACTTTTAAAAAGCAGCACCAAAAATCAGATTACAGCTTCCCCTAGGATGAGATATGCTTAAAAGGAAAACATTATGCACGTTTCTGGTCTTGGAACATCGAGGGATTGCTTTGTCTCATAAGGGGAAGGTGGTCCAGAGAACACAAAAAAAGAAGCAATTTAAGCAGGATGAGAATGAAAGCGATATGATTTCATTTGCATATCCTTGCTCCTGTGAGTTGACAGAATTTTGCAGAGCTGAGTGTAGTCTAGGAGAAAGCGAGTGAGAATCTATAATTTCTGACACCTGATTGCAGGGCAAGAGAGGTGCAGTAATTCCCCTGCTTGTCCATACTCGGCCAGCAAGGGACGAGGAGAAAGGTAAATTAAATCCATGCCTTGCTGCCTGGCTGAGCAGAATCCATGTGAAAGCTGTTCTGGTTAGTCTGGGCTATTTTGGGGGATAGCATCAGAGAGCTCTGTCCTACCACCACCCTCAGTCCATCAGGGCACTGGCTGCCCCAGGCAGCGGTGTGAGGTGACCTAAGAGGGCTGACCCATGAAGAGCTTCTATTTTAATGATTATGTTTCACTTTAATGTGTATCACTAAAAAAACCCCCCAAAAACAAAAAACTAGTACATCAAAGCTGTGATTTCATGTATATTACTTCTTAAGATAAAGATGGTTAAAAAAGTGAGTTGGGAGTTGGTTTAATAAGAAATATTTAATATTTAGAGTACAGGTAGTACTTGCAAATGGCAGAAATCATGAAGATGGTGTGCAAATGGCTGAAGTCTAGAAAACAATTCAGAAGATAACTTTCTTCTTATCCCATTGTTTTGATTGTTTCTTTGTTGAGATTTTTGGTATTTGTTTCCATTTACAAAATAACTGTATGTATGCTTAAGGCAGAAAATTTGAAGACATAGAAAAGTACAAATGAAAACCATAAAAATCAAATATAATGCTACCTCCTAAGGATAAGCAGAGTTAACATTTTGGTTTTTTGCCCATCCAGTACTTTTTCCATCCTTTCCCTACCCCTTCCCCACATAAAAATGGAGCTAGGCATGCATATTCTGTTTCATAGCTGTATTTTCCACTTAGCAATACCTAATGAACATTTTTTCATGTGGTCCGCATTCTTCTTCAACAACTCTTTTTATTGGATAAAGAATATTTCCTCATATGGTTAAGCCAAAACCTAGTTAATTAATCCCCTACTGTTAGGAATTAAACCTGCTTTCATCTCTTCACTCCCATATAAAAGACTGCAATGAACATCTTTGGACATAACACTATTGTACACATCTCTGATTATGTACATATAAAAAATTTCTAGAGGTGAAGCTGCTGTATCAAAAGGTTTGCCCATTATAAAGTTGTTTTGCAGCAAATTAACACATTGCAGAAAGGTTGCAAAAACAATTTATTCCAGCAGTAAGTTACAGGAATACCCACTTTTATAATATTTGTGTTACATTATCTTTCTTTTAAAATACGTTTACTATTTGCCGATTCACTCATATAACAAATTACTTTACACATCTCTGATTATGTACATATAAAAAATTTCTAGAGGTGAAGCTGCTGTATCAAAAGGTTTGCCCATTATAAAATTGTTTTGCAGCAAATTAACACATTGCAGAAAGGTTGCAAAAACAATTTATTCCAGCAGTAAGTTACAGGAATACACACTTTTATAATATTTGTGATACATTATCTTTCTTTTAAAATACGTTTACTATTTGCCGATTCACTCATATAACAAATTACTAAACACAAATATAAAAATTACATATTTAGAATTCATTTGTATTTTTTCATTTTGTGAATTATGTACTTATGTTCTTTCCCCCTAGTTTCTACTGATATAGAACCCTGAAACAATAGTCAGCTTTAGGTGTGAGTATAGAATATAATACTAAATGCCTTAAGTATCCCTTTCCCCAAAAATACTTTCCTTTACCTTTCTCTTTTGGCTAAGGGGACAATTGTTATTCTGGGAAGAGAGGACATTATTCTTTAATATTACTGTACTTTTTTCCTAACTCATGGAAAAGATGTTGAAGATAAAATAAATTTTCTCATTTTCTTTTTTAGAAGAAAAGAGCAAAATACGGTCCTGCCACTTAACTCTATTCAACAAGTTCAAAAACACTGAGGTAAGACACGAAATGGTATAGCAATGCATTCATTCTAGTAATGCTAATGTTTGAACAAGAACAAAAAATATTCATCATAAGCTGTTGCAGTAAGAAGAAAAATTAATCCCTAGAATAATTATGTACCTAACAGATTTAGGAACACTTGACCATCTCTGTAATTCTGAATCTTACTTATAACTCAGGTGGGAGACTTTTAATCTCTTTGAAGGAATGACACCTTTTTGTGGTGGAGAAGCCGTGGTGGTGGTAGTAGTGGAAAAGCCACCTCCCTGTCCCATTCTAAAAGAGCCACATGGGATGCAGTAATATTTTAAATAAAAAGAACAATTACATTTAATTTTATATTGAGATTTATTTGAGAATTTGAAAATACTTTTTGACCCATCAAAGAAACTACCTCATTTGGCAGTGTTCTGAATTGAAATTGGCTGAGAAGAAAGCAGATATCAGGATGATCTTTGAATGCAATGCATGTATTATCTTATGAAATGCTAAACAGATTCCTACTTACTAAAATATCCAGAAAATTCTGGGTGAGATATAATAGGTGAGAAGACCCTACCTACTAATTAAAATAACTTACCATTATCCATTTATCAATACAACAAACATTTACTGAGCACTCACTATGTACTAAGAATTGCTCCAGATGGTGGGAATATTAGTGTATAAGGCAAAGATGCATCTCCACCGTAATCAGCACCGCACTCTACCGAGTGAGCCACGGGCTGGCCCCATCTCCACCGTAATGAAACTAACATTCCAGTGAAAGATGGTTGGGAGGGTGAGACAGATAATAGATCAGTAAAAATAGACAAATAAGAAGTGGAAAATAGTGGTAAAATAGAAAATAATGAAATGTAATGAAAATAGAACAGGGGGATGTGATAGAGAGGGACTTGGTGAGGTGTGAAGGGGGAGCTTTAGGTGGGGTGGCCTTGGAAGACCTCTTGGGGAAGATGGCATTTAAGCTGTACGAGTCATGCAGAGGTCTTGGCAAAGAGCATTCTAAGCTGAGGGAAGAGTAAATGTGAAGGCTCCCAAATTAATTCGATGTGTTGGCAAAACAGAAAGAATGCCAGTGAGTAAGCATTCCAGGAGAGTGGTATGAGCAAGCCTCAGTTGGGACGTCATTCTAATGGTAACAGCCATTGGAAGGTTTTGAGCAGAAGAGAGGCAAGATCTGATCTAATTTACATTTTAAAAAGACCACTCCAGTTGTGTGTGGTGGGTGCATTGATATGGAACAAGATGGGAGGCAGGTTTACCAGTGAGGTAGACACTATGGTCATCCAGGTAAGAAATGTTGGTGGCTTGACCTAATGGGTAGCCATGAAGGTGGAAAGAAGTAAGCCTCAAAATCCTGTAGTTCTCATATTGAGTATTTAGAGCAGTGTTCTGGTACTCTCTGCTGAATTTTTGTCTTTTCAACTAGACTATAATGTATTTTAATTGCATCCATTTGTAAAGAATCCCATGTTGCTCTGGGCCTTATACACCTTGAATTCTTATAACAATTTCATCCCAAGCTCATGTGTAGGGTGGTTAGCTAAATCCCCACGGCCACAAAGCTAGCCAAAGATCATATTAGGATTTACCTTGGTCTGTGTGAGCAATTCTCAGCTAATACACTATACTGTTTACCTTAGGGGGTGGAATTGGCCTGGGGAAACTAGGGCACAGCTGATTTTTTTTCTAACAGTTCTTAGAAGTGGAAGGGCAACAAAATTACCAGGAAAGGAGGCCCTTGTTCAAAATGCAGATTCCTGGAGGCTGCAGAATGAGAATATCTAAGGTTGGGGGATAGGAATGTGCATTTTAAAAATGCTCCCAAGTGACATTAAACTTTTCAGTCTGCAAAGTAAGCAATAAATAGTTGCTGAATGAATGAATATCACGGTAAGGTTAGGCAGGAAATCAAGATCTAGGATAATTCACTCCCCCAACCCTCCATCCAAAGCAAATACAGGCCCACTGTGGGGTGGGTCCAAGCAGAGCCTCAGATCTCCCCAGCAGATCCACTCAGAAATTCATAATGTGACTAATGCATGGGTATGATTAAGCTCAGGCCTTATGCAAGTTTTCTATTCTAAATAATTACTCTTGACAACCAGGTGCGAAATCCAATTGTCTCAGTGGCTGAGGAAAGCAAGCCCCCCAACTGGAAAACACCACCTGTTTTAAAGGCAAAACCATCTTTAAAAAAAAAAATCATTATTTTGATTTTTAGCACTTTCGATGCATGGAAACCAAGCAAGCCTTACTCATAGGGCCAACTTACCCATTAGACACAATGAGCTCAGTGCCTAGGGCCCAAGAGACTTTTAGGGGCTCACAAAAATGTTTCAATTTCCTTTAAAATCAGAAGAGAATCATGAATATAGTCTAGCCTTGATTATATGCAACTTTTTAACCAATGCAGTCATAAAATATGATTTTTACTGTTTTTTTCTCCAGAAGTGGCCCATAGAAGTCACAATGCAGCTCTGCTTACCCAAAGCTGTGGGCCCATGTGAGAGCCACCTTACCTGGCAGGCATTGTACAGGAGCTGATGTTCGAACTTCTTGATCCCAAGAATGTTCTGGAACATCTCGTAGAGTTGCTCCTTGCTCAGAATCAGCTCGGAGGCTGCGCTGGCCGTCATCCGGGCCTGCTGCTTCCTGGGGTCCTCTTCCCCACGGTAGATGGCATCAAACTTGGCCATCCAGGAGCTCAGCACAGTCTCCTTGCTGAGGCCGTCGATCTCAGGCAGGCTACGCACCCTCTTCTCAATGTGCTTCTTGAAGACCTCCCGCGAGTCATTGGCAGAGCAGCCCCCACTCTGCACCATGCGGGCTACCCGGTCACTCTTCAGGAACACCTGAGCAAGAACAGGGCCAGGAAAGACAGAGAGTCAGCTGTGGAGGTACCAGCTTCCTGCGCTGGGCTACCCCATCCTGTGCATCACAAGAGGCACCAGCTGGGTCCCATCCTGCTCTACTACCTCCTGGCTATGTAAACTCACACAAGTCACTTATACATTTTGTACCTGTGTCCAAATCTATAAAATGAGAATAACAATAGAACTTACCAGGTGGTTGCAAGAAGTAAATGAGAAAATAATATCATGAGAGGCAGCATATACAAGGGTACTTCAAAAAGTTTGCGTTGGGCCAGCCTGGTGGCGCACTGCTACAGTGCGCCGCTTGGGAGTGTGGCGGCGCTCCTGCCGAGGGTTCGGATCCCACATACAGACCGGCCGCTCACTGGCTGAGTGAGGTGCGGACGCAACACCGAGGGTTGCGATCCGTTGCCAGTCACGAAAAAAGAGACAAAAAGGAACAGATGCTCAGACTGCATGAGTTCTTTCTCTGCCTCTTAGTTGCTGTGCAACTTTGGGCAAGTTAACCTCTTTGTGCCTCAGTGTTCTCATCTATAAAATGGGGACAATAGTAGTCTCTACATCACAGGTATTCTGCAAGGAAGATTAGATGGGTTAACGTATGAACAGCACTTAAACTGCCTGGGCCACATTAAATGCCATGTGAGTGACTGTTGTTGTTGTTATATGTAAAGTATTGGGCACGATGTCTGCACAAATGTTAACCACTTATAGTATACTCCCTCCATGATACTTGTTATAGTTGGAGTCAAACAAATATTAGGTAAATATGTGTTTAATCATCTCTCTCCCTTCCTGAAATGTAAACTGCACATGGGCAAGGACAGTGTTCTTATTCCCCACATCTTCAGTTCCTAGTGTAGCACCTGGAACTTTGAAAGTTTAACAATGAGCATATGTGTAATTCAGGCTATTTTGTAGAATGAAAAGCCAAGACTCCAGAGAGGGGAAGGGACTTGCTTTTGATAAATTGTCTGACTACAGAAGTATGGTCATTTTACTTCCTCCAGGTTCCTTCCTTCCCTGCTCTGCCTAGAGCAGACCTTGGTTGTTTTGTTGGCGCTGCCTAAGTCCTGGGACCAAACCATCTACTTAAGCACATTTTACCTTTGCTCCACTGCCCGCCACTCGGAAGCTTACACAAGGACATGGTTCTAGGGAATCATACAAGGCAGTGAAGCTGCTGCTTCATATTCACAGAGAGGAAAACATTGGATACTTTTGAGCTGTGCTTTGGTCATGCTTCAGAAGGTACATAAATATCCTGCAAGAGGTAGAGCAAATGTTCATTCCCTGTCAGATTTCGGGAAATGCCCTTGTTGGCCAGGAGACGGCATTGCTTGGCAGGCGCCTCATTGCCTCATGCTTCAGCACAGAGCCTTTCTTGAGGTGAAGAGATATTAAAAAGGTGGCCTCCATTCATTGTCGACTTAACGAACTAATTTAGATAGGAGGGCTGAGGGTTTACTTCACAGTGCCTGCTCCCCAATGCCTGAGAACTGGTTCTCACTTGAGACATTAGAGTTGATTTGAAAGTCAATTATAGAGGAAAAGGTTCAAATGAATCCTCAGGCCTTATACCAGCCTTAATGAGCTAAAGAATTCACCTGAAAACCTATAATGCTTAGTGTGTATGGTTTCTCCATCTAATTAAGATGTTATGAGTTGCAGCTACAGATCTAAATCTCAAAGAACAAAGTTTTGAGGCAAATAGAGGAAGTTTCTAGAGAGGTAACATAACACTGTAGCAGGAGCTGTAAAGCATGGTCCCAGCTAGCTCTGCCACTATCTTGCTGTGTGACCTTGGATAAGTCACCTTTCCTCTCTGATTCTCCAATTTCTTATCTGTACACTGAGGGAGTTGAACTGTAAGATTTTGGGGTTGTCCTTCCAGCTGTAATGTTCATACTCTTCTTTATGAGCCCATTCATCCTTTCTTTGGGTACTCACTAGGTGGAAGACACTGTACCAGGTGCCAGGGATACAATGGTGAGGAAAACAGATTCAGCTCTCATGTAGTGCAAAAGACATCATTGTAATAATCCCATAAAATATAATTACCATCTGGAACAGGTACCACCCAGGGAAAGTACAGGGGTCCACGGGTGTCTATGCCAGGAATCTATTCCGAAACGTGGTCAAGAAAGACTTCCTGAAAGAAAACACCTTTGAGAATATGTGAAAGATGGATAGGCGAACAGTGAAAGGGTATCTCAGAGAGAATGAACAATGTGTAAAGACCCCATGTGCCTAAGGAAACAATGAGGAGCCTGTGTGGCTGTGGCCCTGAGGGTCTGGGGAGACTGATGCAAGACAGGTGGGGAGGGGCCAGATGGCCAAGGGCGTGGGCAGAGTCATTAAGGCTGTCAGGCTGCATCTTAAGGGCACTGGGAAGCCACTGAAGGTTTTAAACTGGGACATGGCCCAATCAAGTTCATATTCTCTGGCTTTAATGTGGAAAACAGACTGAAGAGAGCCAAGAGAACAGGCAGGGAGGCCAGTTGAGAGGTACTTATAGGAGTACAGGTGACTGATGATAGCAGTGGGACACAAAGGGGTTAATTCTTTGTTGTCAGCTCTAATAAACATCAGAGGTGACATGGAAACATTCCATCAACAACTGCCTTGGGTTGAATGTCCCCCCAAACTGAATCCCCAGTGTAACTGTTGAGAGTGGGAAATGCTATTATGGTAATTGAAAGGTGGGGCGTTGAAGCGGTGATTAGATTGTAGGACCAGGCCGAAGTGAATGGATGAATGATGGTGGTCAGGGGTGTGGTTCTGAGGGCTTTTAAAGGGGAGCATGAAGAGTCTTTTGGTCTCTCTGCTCCGCCATCATCTGCCATGTGAGCCCCCTGCAGTACTGCCACCACCAAGGCCTTCACCAGCAATGTTCCCTGGACTTTGGGCTTCCCAGCTTCAGAAACTATAAGCAAATAAATATTATTTTCTTATAACTCACCCAACTTCAGGTATTTTGTAATAAGCAATGGAAACAGACTAATACAACGACAAAGCCATACTCTCCTCATCTGCCCATACCGGTGGCCTGTAAACCTAGAGCAGGCCCCCGGAATAAGCTCTCGGCCCCACATTCTCTTCCCCCAATGCCCTTCCATAGCTGCCATCTGTCATTGTTTTTGTGACTGTTTGGTAAAGATCTGATCATCCAGGCAGACTATAAATTCCAGGATGGGAGGGTTGTAGCTGTTTTTACCTATCACTTCTTCTTAGTGCCTAAGATAGTGTCTGGCACATAGCTGGTGCCCCGTAAACATTTGTTGAATTAGTGGATGAATGATAAGAACAGAGTAGACTTCTCTACTTTGAATAGAGACCCTATTGAATAAGGGGGGCAAGAGGGTAAAGAGGAAACCTGCAGGCACAATGTATGGGTCTCTCAAAACAAGTGACTTAGATGCTGTTTTCCATGGAACCTAACAAGGGGTAAGAAATCAGGATGTCGGCGCTCTGTTGCAGCTGATGTCTGTAACTGGCTGGGCAATCCCTGAATCCTGGATGTTTCATCTTCTTCACATAGTCCCTTCCTTTGACACAGTAGCCACTCGATAAATATTTCTTGAGCCACTAGTGGATGACCTTAGACAAGTCAGTTAACCTCCATCAACC